ATAAAAAAGGTAAGGTAAATAAGGATTTGGAATACTTATTAGGATATGAGTGTAACAGAGATAGAGAAGGATACAGGATGTTTATAAAATACATATATACTACTGGGTTAAGTGAAAGGATTTAAATATAGAATGCGGATGCTCTATTTTATGAAGTATTCTAATTTGTTGAGATTAGTGGGTGAATTGGTGGGTTTTTGTTAAATGTGAGCCAAAATCATCACAATTAAAAGAACCAAAGACTTAAACTACTTCAGTCTGTGTGCATAGAATTTATTTAATACACGAGTTTCACAATTTGAGTTGAATTACTGAAATAAATGAACTTTTCCACGACATTCTAATTTATTGAGCTGCACCGGTATACACGTGTGTAAGAACAGGAAAAGCAAAAACAAGGAATAAATGGATAAATAAACCATGACTGCATAACAGCAAAAGTAGGTGGCGATATGCACACAGGATGTAACACGCCAAAAAACGGAAGACGACGACGACGTACCGGAAGCAAATAGCGGACTCCAGATACAGACAGCTCTGCTCAAAACATTTGGATAAAAGAGCTCGCCAGAAGAAACAGGTAAGACAAAACAAGCGGAGATCATTCACGGCATGTTGCTTTATATGGTGAACAGTCGTATTCGTTACTCAGTACCCTGGAATTGTAAGTGTATGAGACCTTATAGGACTTTATAGCTGAAGCTGGCTTTGACAGGCGGATGTTGGCTCTATACAGAAACATATCTATTTTTCTAGCATGTCAAGAGGCGAGCAGTGTTAATGTAACAGCTGTCAGGCCCTCTGCCGAAATGAAAGAGTGTCGCACGCGCGCTGTGTCTGTTAGCAGCTGTTGAATGGAAGTGGCGAGGGCCCGAGGGATGGGTCCAGAGAGAATCTTACCGAACTCCGAGGATGATGTGCTGCAGGACCGGCCTTTAGACGCCGCGGCGCCGGAGGAGTGGAGCGGAGAGGACCTGGAGGAGGACGAGGAGGACGCTGGATATTATTATCAGCCTCTCGAGCAACACCCAGAGCCCGCGGATGAAGGAACCACCGCAGAGCAGCTTCAGGAGGTCCAGGACAGAATAGAGGTACAGTACAAGGGAGTCTTCTTTCTGACTGTTGCAGGCACCCTCATCTCTCTGGTTAGCCGGTGTGGACTAGTGTCGGTGTACCCTACCCACTGATTGCTGCTTGTTGTCATCTTTATGATCATTTTGCAGGCCCTGGGTCTGTTCCTGCCCCAGCCTCCTCCTCCTGACAGCGATGAAGAGGAGGATCCTGAAGGAGCCGCTGCTTGTAGAAGTCATGCGTCCATTCCCATGGATGCAGGTGAGAAAGAGAACAGACTTCACATGTGTTGCATTAGTTCGAGGGGCCAAAATATATAGGAAAAACTATAAACTACAAAGCAAATCTGCCATTTAAAAAAAAACTGCTTGGTATGGTTTACATTTTGCAATGATAAAAACAATCATCATCCAGCTTTAATCTGCTAAATGTGACTAATGCATGAAGATTTTAAGATATTGTAAACATTATGATTTTCTGCAAAGCTGCTTTGAAACAATGCAGCTATATTATATTTATAATATACATATAAACTTGGTTGACTGATATTTTTAAATGCCTGTTATAATGAATACAACTTAATACTAGCAAACAAACAAAACGAACTAACAAAATTGTTGTATTTAAGGAGTAATACTACTAGTATGATTTAAAACAGAAACTTTGCACAATTGGAATTTTGGATTTAACAGGTGGATTGATGCAAGTACACAAAATTGTTGAATTTAACAGTAATATTAGTAACATTTGTTTTATGCACAATTGGAATTTATAGGTCAAATGATGAAAGTACAAAAAAATATTTAGCTTGACATTTTTTCACATATTTCCAACAGAAAATGTGCAGTTGGAATTATTAAACATTGTCAAAATTCAGTTTTTAACTTGTCAAAAATACAGATGATTAATTTAATGTTGTGGCCTTTTAATGTCCAGTATTACAAATCTGTACTATTTTCCTTAAATGTAAAATAAAACACTAAAATCAGTCCTTTTAAAAACTTCAATTAGGCTTCGCATTATACTGTATTTTTTCTCTACCACAGATTATATTAAGTGTTTTTAAAGACTTCTGTTGGATCTGTTGATGACAGCAAAGGTAAACTAAATACAAAAATGAGTATGCACAATAAAATATCCATTATCTTATACCAATATAGATATTTAAAATAAAAAAGCGGTAATATCAACAAATGTATTTACTGATATATTGGTTGATATTAGCATTATAAAATATATGTTTGCAATATATATTTTGAGTATCAATATATTTTTTATTTTTGTCATCACAGATCACGTTGAGCTGGTGAAAACGACCATGGCGGCTGTAAATTTGCCGACACTAGGAATTCCTGCCTGGGCCCAGGAAATCTCTGACGACCAGTGGAAGGACATGGTCCAGCAGACGCTTCAGTCCAAACAAAGCTCTGCAGGCCTGAGACTAGAACGCAAGTGAAACCTTTTCAAGAGCCCCGTCTTACACTGCAGAAACAGAGATTCTGACATTCGCTCATCTCAAACAAATCAGAAGGCACAAACTGTGGACTTGAAATTCTTGAATCTAATAGTTTGCCTTTTAATTGCTTTGAACTGATACACAGCAAGTGTCCAGTTGATGCAGCTACGCAGTAGACAAAACCTGTCCTGAAAACACCCCAAATGTTTTTTAACCCAGTTGTATTAATTATGCAGTGTGTTCTTGTGCTTGTTTGTTTGTAAAGTGGAGAATTTTGCAAGACTTAGAGGTTGCTTTTGTAACATGTAATGATGGTGCATCTCAGTAATAATCACATCTAAATCAATCTGACTGTTGATATCTGTGCAATGAGTGACTGATCCTTTATGTATCTCACACGGCTTGAGCAACACAAATGGCCGTCACATCTTTTGTGTTTCTTTATTTTTGTTCTGTACATACATGAACATCTGTACAAAATATGACTTTCATACTATGTAATGCTCAACCTAATTAAAGTACAACATATGTACATATGACCTGGAAAGCAGCTTAAGATTAGTGTCAGACTTGAGGAGGGCTGGGAGAGCAGGAGGGAAAGGGAAGGGTGAGTGTGGAGAGACCCATACTTTCTTTATTTCCCTCGGTTTCTTGTTGCTGCCACACAAGCTGAACACTGGCCCCATCCGCCTGTCGAGCTGCATTGAGAAAGGAAGCATGCTGCGTTCAAGAGTGATGTTGCCTCTGATTGTTTCTGGAATGTTTTGGTCTATGTAGAGGCAGCTATGTTGGCAAATCATGCTCTTGATTGCACGGACAAGTCATTCCCGTATGCTGATAGGCCGAGGTGACATTACAACACTTCAAACAGCTAATGATTTAAAGACTTCACCTCTGCACTGCATACTAATAGGCTGTTATAGCACAAGTCGAAACGTATGCACGTGTTTGAAGCAATGGAAGAAGTGTAGCAGCTTGAATGCACAGCAAGTGGACGTCAAGGCGAATTACAGCGGGACCTTTGAGCTGCGCATCGGATAGAAATAACATGTTGGGTTGTCCAGCAGCCTGTAGGAGGGGTAAATGTTCCCTCACTATTGGAATGATCAAAGTCACTTCACGAGACAGACCTTTACAGCAGAGAGGGGACATCATGCATCCGAATGGAGTCATACAAGCAAACAGAATGAAAGAAAAGATGAACTTGGAGCATAAAAAAGGAATACTGACGGGCATGGGGTGGGCAAGGGCACAATCATAAGCAATTTACATGACAATATACAGTACACAAGTATTTGCAACAGCAATTGCAGGCTGTCAGTTTTCCATATATTAAGCCTGGACAAGCGAGTATCTTTTCTCTTTAAGTATATAGTCCTATTAGGAGGATTGTATAGCGCTTGATCGTACACTAGACCAGTCCATGTTTTCCATACTGTTCTAATTCCTGAAAAAAAATATTGCTTAGGCGCTTTAAAGTGTAAAAAAAAAAACGCAACAACAAAAGACGTACAATCTTGGACAGGACGGTAATTCCTGATCTTGTTTCCTTTTCAAAGGCTCAAAGGGAGTTTTTTGTTCTTTTCTAGTTTTTATACGTCACAGAAACCAATGGAGCAAAAACAAGACACCTTAAAAAAGCTAGGCAGTGAAAAAAGGACGTTTCGATTTGATGGGTATCTGGTCAAGAGGTATCAGTCTTAAAACGAAAATGAAACATGGGTGCATACAAACATAAGTGCAGTGTGGACCAATAGGCCATTGGTGCATGCGTTAAGAGCACAGACTGTATACTACTTTTACAGCATTGTCATCGAGCGCTCTGCTGGTGGTGTTTAGAGATGATAGCTTCCACAAATCTCCCTTACATTTGACGATCATTATCACAATCACTGGGAAAACAGCAAACGGATTAGGTCGAACTCTTCAGCCTCTGCCTCTTAATATGTGGCCATGACCTCAAAAATGACTTCTTCAGATGACTACCTGAAGCATTTATAGCACCAGGCCACTATGGAGAAACAATTTTTTTAATACCCTCTCAGGTGTACGTCTAGGGAAGCACCTGAAATAAGATTTGCAATTCCTTGTGGGTTGAAATCTCCAATTTGCATGTCTAATTTATAAAGCTGCTTTCTCCATATAGTGTATTGTATGACATCAAGAACAACCCTGCTCTCTCCCGTTTGGCTACAGTCCCTATGCTGAGCGCACACACAGGAAAATCCAACACAGGGTCACCATCTCCACTGAGGTCTTCATTTATCTTGAGTGACATGATTCATTTAGTTAAGTTTGGCCCCTTCGTTGCCAACACAGAGAGAACAGATTTACAGAGGCAGTGATTGGAATACAGGAGAAGCGCTCAAGCAGTGGTAAAAACAGGATAGGGAACATGCGGACAAATGGAGACAGCACAAAGTGGACAAAATAAAGCGGAGTGTGGAGAGAAAAACAAACCACAACATGAGCATACTTTCATCATTTGTAACCCACTGCTTTCTAACAACCCAGTGCTGGCTTCTGTTCGGCGTGAGGATCAGCAGCTATAGATTTGTGAATACTTTGGAAAGTGTTTGTGAGCACATAGGGGGCGGGACAGAGTTTATGGGAGCTCTCCACTGCTCTGTGGGCTGGATTTTTCACAGACGGGGCTCTCCAACAGCGAGGGAGGAAGAGAGTATGGATAGAGGCAGAGGAATAGAGAGGTGGGTTACAGCAGGCGACAATTTTGGACCAAGACGAGAGGGACAGTTTAGGCGCGGTGGAGGGTGGCGGTGCTCCCCGGTCAGAGGGCTTCCTGGTTGGCCGTCAGGTACTCCTCCGGTCGCTTGTGAGCTTCCAGGGCTTTTATAGTATACACGTCCTGCGGCAGCTCAGACTTTCGCCTCATCAAAACCTTTTCTTTCTTGATTTCTTTCAACCCCTATAAAGAAAATGGTTATATTACTGAGACTGTGAACCTTACAGCTAGACTAAAGGCCAAATTATACTTCAGTTTTGACACTAACACTTACAGCTGAATGCATAGCCTTTCTAAGTATACTCCATTTGTGTGAAAAAAAAATTTCTTTAAACATTATGACGGATAAAAATGTCTTTGCACTTTTTAAACTAGTTTTGGGTACCACTTATCTCTAAAATCTGGCTGCGCGTTGTGTGCACATTCCATAGCATACATGTAAAAACACACACATACATATATATATATACATACATACACAGATTGATTTGAGGGGGGAAAAAATGCTAAAAAGTATTTAAATCCATATACTGTACATTATCGTTAGTATTATTGGTGGTATTTTCTGTATGATTTAATTATAATTCCTTCTTCAGCTACAGCAGGACCATTAAACGACAGCTTGTTGTAGCTCACGTATTAAAAGTGACAGAACCTTTCTCTTATTTATATGAAGATTTCAGCACCCAAGCTTTTCAGGTGAAACCAAATCTATGGGTAACGCAACCCAGTTCATTTTGACAAGTTTCTGAGAGTCTCTCAGAGCAACAACAACAATCTGGATGGGTACAAGCAAAAATTTGAATAGGGAATAAAAAAAATAAAATTCTGAAAATGATTATTAGGTATAATATATTAACACTGATTTGATGCTGTAGGATTGAAAAGTAAACCTGTAATTAAAATAAGCTGTAGTTTCTTTAATTTAGGCCAAACATTAACACAAAACTTATTACAGCAGAGGTTATCCAGCCCAAAGGATATTGTTGGCTAGGTTCTGTTTTTACTCGATGTTAGTTGTTAAAGCAGCAAGTTTATTTTTTACCTTATTAGATCCAGAAATGCATGTATTACACAAGGTAGCAAACACTAAATTTTAAGAAATGAGTTTGGCACCCATGCTCTAAAACGAACTTGCATGCCGATGCACATAAATCCACTGTTCGGGCATCTTTTGTGTCTGTGAAGATCCTGTGACGTGTTTGTACCTGTGAGGCTTCTGATTCCACAGTCTTCTTCAGCAGCTGGATGTCCTCGGCTGTAGGGGTCTCTGTCTCCATTGAGTACAGGGGCATCCCTCCTTCATTATACATCATATACTGCACATACACACAAACAAGTACTTTGTTCACACTTGAACATACATCGGTCACAATGTTTTGTTTACAGCAACTTGCAATATTAATACAGAATTCAAATCATGTGCGGTCAAACGTGTGTGTATATTAGCTATTTTATAATAGCCTTGAATGTGGCTCATCCAAAAAGAAATTAGAATGTGAACCAATATTCCCTCAAATTTTTTTTCTTGCTGAGCAAAACTTTTCTCTAATGGATGGACATTTCGGCCACTTGAGCAAAAATATTCTTTATACCAGACCTGTACAGTGTGCGCATAAAAAAACTTTTAACTTTAATGTGATATTTATATTTGATTTGACCTTGATGTAACTAAATAATGCACGTTTTAGGTTACCTGAAATCAAAACAGTTCAATTCTTTGTAATAATATAATATAATAATATGAAAAAATGAAGCAGATATTGCTTATGAATTCCTTTTTTGCCCTTTGAGGTCAATTATTTATGAGGTTTCTAATATAATATATAAAAACAAACGGAATCATTTAAACTGAGATCTGTAAGCTAAATATATCAAAAAGAAAACGTGAATGCTTTATACAGTTATCCAAGTAGAGTTTAGAGTAGTAGAGTTTGCACACGACTACACCTGTGTGTGACTGTAAATATCTAAAGTTTTCTGTGCTCATCATCCGCTATTTCCAGCACTTAATCAAGCCACTCTTCTTTCAAACACGATGGAGTTTTATTTCACATGTCATTGCGTTTGCTCTCGTGTTGAGCTATTTCATCCGCAACCATTGCAGTATTTGATTTCCACAGCGACTCATTTGGCGCACATCATTCTCTTTCTAAGAAACCTGTAAACCACATTCACTGGTTCTTACTCTATAGCGGTTTGCCAGAGCATTGCAATTACTTTGCATTTAGTAGAATTCAATCAAATGGCTTTCCCAACTCAGTTCTTTGCGTCTGTCCTGTGCGCGGCATATTATTCTTCTGCGTGGATGCAGCTTATGCCGAGTTCACACTGCACGATTTTCAAACTCGTCGGATCGCTGTGGTTTTCACACTGCGTGACTATCTGGGGTGGCATTCAGTTGCTGCTGTGTTCACATTGCACGATGGATCGGCGACAGGGGGTTTCACACTGCATGACTTCACAATAGAAAGACTTGCCGACAGCTCTGTCTGGTCCGCAAACTAGGTTTCACAACAAAACACACCCGAGAAGTGATAAGGAAATAACGCGAGAACCCGCGTGCGTCAGACCGGAGTTCTCGCGAGCAAGACTGTAATTATTAAAATATATATATAGCCCGCAAATAGTCTGTTCCGCAAAGAGAGTTGGAGGTAAATAATTTTGCAGTAACTGTTATGCTGATGTTGTGGCTGGGGAAGCAAATGTTTGTGCTTGTTTCTGTATGATATAATTGTTCATATATCTATTAAAATACTGATATTCTGGTCTATAACTCCTCCCCGAACTTCTCTCTGCCCTGTATCTTGGTCTCTCATTGGCTGTAGGTTATCGCCGATGTGCTTTTCAGTCAGAACTCATTTCACACAGCGTGATTGTGAATCGCCGACAGCTTCAGATATTAAGCATGCCAAATATTTTGCGGGCGTCGGCGATTCCCTCAGATCGCGTCTTTGATAATTCACACTGCGTGATTGTCACTCGCGTGAACGAGCACCGATTTGCCTCCGAT